TAGATTTTGACAAAAATAACTAATTTATATTAATAAATGATTGGCTCAGATGTCAGATGATCCTTTTTTTTGGTGATCAATTATTAATTTTCAAAATTGCAGGCAAATTTGCCTGCAAAACTATTAAAGGGATAATATTTGATAAAATTTCAATTAGATTTAAGAATTGATATCTTACTGGTCAAAATCTATTAAGCAGATTTTTGTGAAAATTATAAAATTAATTTTGAGAGTAATTATTTCAAAGAAACAATAAAAATTATTTATAAAGAAATGAACAATTGTCTCAAAAGGAATGATATAATTATTTCTAAACAAATAATAGAAATTGTCCAAAGGAATAATATAATTATCTTTAAAGAGATGATAGAATCATTAAAAAGGAATAATACAATCATTTCTAAAAAGATGATAGAAATTATTTTTAAAAATAATAATTTTCAAAGAAATATTAGAATTATCTAAAAAGAACGATACAATAATTCCAAAAAGGCAATATTTTATCATTCTTTTCTAAAAAAACAATTATTTTTTATTATTTTTTTAGAATAATATATAATCGTTCTTTAAAAATAATTTTTTTTATCATTTTTATTGGAATAATACTTAATTATTTCTTTAGAATGATTTTTATAATATTTTTTTAGAATAATACATCATCATTTCTTTAATAATATTTTTTTATATCATATTTTTGAAATGATATATCATCATTTTTTTAGAATGATACTTAATTATTTAAAAGCACAATTTTCTATATTATTCTTAAAGAATAATATATTATCATTCTGAAAGAACAATTCTTTTTATCATTCTATTAAAACAATACTTAATCATTTTAAAAGAACAATTTTTTATATCATTTTTAAGGAATGATATATTATTATTCCTTTAAAATAATTCTTTTATTATTCTATTAGAACAATACATCATCATTTCTTTAGAATAATTTTTTATATCAATCTTAAAAAATGATATATCATTGTTCTTTTAGAATAATTTTTTTTATTATTTTTAAGAAATAATACATTATTGTTTCTTAAGAATAATTCTTATTTAATTGTTCATTTAGAATAATTTTGTTATCATTCTAATTAGATAATATAAAATCATTTATTAAGAATATTTATGATGAATTATTCTTAATGAGTAATAGATAAATTCCAGATTACAGTAGTCAAAATTTTAATTCAGTTTATAATATAAAACTAATAAACTTTCAGATATTTTAGATATTTTAGAAAAAAAAAATTTACTTTTTTTTTTTTTTTAAGTAAGATAATTTTTTGGTTATTTTTTATTTTTTTTTTATTTTTTTTTAAGAAAATTCTCATTTGTAATTAAGTAATCATTAGATAATGATTTTTATATGATTTTTTAACTTTTTCTTTGGAAAATTCTTATTTTGAAATTAAGATAAGCAAATCAGATAAGTAAATTGAAAGGAAAATTCTCCTTTTAAAACTAAGGTAAGTCTTTTGTAAATGATTTAGATGTTTTTTTTAACTGTTTTTTTTATTTTTTTATTTAATTTTTTTTAGGAATACATTAAGATAAATAAATCAGAGATGAATTTTATTGGTTTTTTAACTGTCTTTTTTATTTTTTTATTTATTTTCTTTAAGAATTCAATAAATTAAAGGTGTTTTTTTAGTAATTTTTTTAACATTTTTCTTTACTTTTTTTAGAAATACATTAAGATAAGTAAATCAGTGGTAGTATTTTGTTAGTTTTCTAACTATTTTCTTTATTTTTTTCTTTAATTTATTTAAGAATACATTAAAATAAGTAAATTGAAAATGATTTTTTTTAGTGGGTTTTTAATTGTTTTTTTTATTTTAAAAAATTCAAATGTATTTTTTTTTAATAAAATATATTGCAAAATATTCTTTTTAAATAATTTATTATATAATAATAAAAAAAAATTATAAATAATAAATAAACAAAAAATAAATTTTATTGGTTTCAATTTTATAAATAGTTGTTTAATTGATTTTTTGCTAATTGTTAATTAATTATAAGCTGATCAATGTCAAATTTTAACCAATTTTTAACATTAATATTGATTGATAACCAATTTTTTATTTATTTAAAATGCTAATTTTTTGGTAATGATCAGCAAAATTAGATTATATTTTAGCCAACTTTCAGTATTTTAAAATGTAATTGTATTATTTTACTTAGTGATATATCAAACAACTACAAATCATTAAATGATGATTTTTTATTAATTTAATTTTAAACCTGAGAATATTCCTAATATTTTTTTAATCAGCATTTATTGTTGCATACAATAAATTTACAACACATATTTCACAACATCTTACATAATCTTTATTTTGTACTTGTTATATTTTTGATTTATTATATTTTAAAACAGGAATTCAAGTTAAAGATATTCATAGATATTTAGTAATTAAAGATTAAAGAACTTAGTAATTTTTCTAATAAATTATTGAGGAAATGATCAATTTATTATGAATCAGTAATGAATTAATTAAAGAACAGGTTAAATCTTAATTTGTATTGGATGAGAATGCAATCAAATTTACTAATTTTGTCAAAATTGCATTAGATTATATTTAGCTTCTAATTTTTAGTTATAGTGTAAAGCATAATTTCTTTATATATTTTTTCAATAGTTTTCTTTTCAAATTTAAAAGGAATTTTACTTCTATTTTAAAGTTAATTTTAAATATATTAAAAATTAATCAAACTAATAATATTTTTACAATAAAATTTATAATAATTTTTAAATAAAATCTACATTAATTAGTAACTATTTGCACTAATTTAAGATCAAATTTTTTAATAAAAGTATTTTCTTTATAAAAGCTAAAATTTTTATTTTTATATTATTAAAAAAACTTTATAAAATATATAAATTTATATTTAAATCATTTATTTATATATTTAAATATTATTTATTTATAAAAAAATTATAAAATTTAAATTGAAAATTTTTATATATTTAATATTTTAATTATTAAAAATAAAATTTTAATTAAAAATAATAGATTTATAATAAATTTTATAATATTTTAACTAAAAATTAAAAATAATTGTAAGTTTTTATGTGGACTATAATATCATCCTATATATTATATTCCCATTTTTTTTTTACCTAAAAACGTTACATTTTCTATTGTTCTTATTATTTAGAAATCTAATTTTAACCAAAAATTGTATATTAAACAATTTTCTGATAATTATACAAGTCTTTTTTTTTAGTACGAAAGTTTTGATTACTTCTTGACCAAAAATTTAACTATGAGAAATCATAGTTAACTGAATCATTAAAGGATGAGGGGGAATAGAAATGGTAATATGTGAAGCAGAAACAAAATCTGATGAAATCCAAAAACTGTTATCAGTTTTGTAATCTGAGGAAGTATTATGTCATTTAATCTAAGATTTGAAAGATTCACATCTTTTATTCTATAAGATCTAAGCATTCTCATATAAATCATGATATATTGAAGAGAGCAAAGCTTTAGATAGTATATTAAATTTGTGAAGTTCATCAAAAAGAAGATTTTGAGTATTATTGGATAGTTGCGTAAGTGTGATTGAATTTGATGAATATTTCTATATGTGGTCAAAGGATTCATTAGTGAGATTACAGTTCAGGTATAAAGCATTAATAAAAATAGTTGGATATCATTTAGAGAAACTGTTATAGTTGAAAGCATTTTAAGTAGGAGATGGTATTTGTTTTTTTGTTAAATGTAGTAGTCAGTGGAGAATCATTATCATTTAATATGAATGAAGTTAACATCCAATCTATATGAACATTTGATATTGTAGGAAGTATGGCAAATTAATGAGACTGTTAGCCCAAGCTGATTGTTAGAGAATTTTTAGGTGTAGATTGATAGGAGATAGGATGGGGTTATTGTAATATGTATTTAGGTCCAATTGTTTGTGATTGAAAATAAATTGGTGATGCATTCATTTTTGCCAAAAAGTTGATTGTACTGTATAGGGATGTTAAACGGTCCCAAATAATTGTAAAAAAATATTGAAATACTGAGTTATAGAAAAGTCTAATCGATTATCTATAATAAGTAACTCTTGATAAATAATTGTAATAATAAATTTTATGAATAACTTATAAAAGAAATATGAACTTTGGAATCGACAATTATGGGACCGCTAAGGTGGGACCCGGTCCTTAGGACCGGGTCCTAAGTTTCAAAAATTAAAGATTCTGGGTTCACGCATAAGTTTAATATATTTTTTTCAATTAATCAATTATCATTAGAAAGTAAAATATAACGTCAGTAAAATAAAATTATTTTCTAGAACTGGCAAATTTATTGGGACATTTAGGACCGTTTAGGATCGCTTAACATCCCTAGTAAAAAAATTGATTTTCTTTTTTCGACTTGGCTTTTTTTGTCATTTTTGGATTTTGGTAGAAGACAAAAAAAAAAATCAATTCCAAATCAAAAAATCAACTTGTGTAACTTATATTCCAATGCCAAATGCCAAGCTAAACTAATAATGAATAAATTCCGCCAAATTTCTTAGATATTACTTGGCAATTAAATATAAAAAGGATTCATCATACTTTTTTTCGTTAGTTGACAAGTTTTCAAAATGAACGCAATGCAAATAGCAAAAAAATTTCCTCAGCTTTCGCAGCAAGATGCTTTCGATCTCGTTGCGAAGTTCAAGTAAGATTTTTTTCTTCATTTTTGAAACATTTATCACGATTTAAATAAGAATTTTGTCGCGTCTTATATAGCAAAATCGATCTTGATGGTAATGGTGCTCTCGAACAAAAAGAAGTTGTTAAGGCTTTACAAGCGATGGGCGAGAGTACTTCATATGACGAAATTCGAGCTACCTTGAAAGAAATTGATTTAAGTTCAACAGGCAATGTTGAAATTGAAGAATTCATTGAGGTACACTTTTTTTGGATATAATTTGGTTTTTGATTTCAATATCAATTTTCTATTACAATAACTTATATAATTTAATTTTATCATTAGCTTGTTGTAAAACTTAGGGAAGGTCGTAACAAAAGCGCTTTCGCGGTCAACAAACAAAAAATCACTGTTCATGGTTCCAGTCAAAATGTTTCACACACTATTAATGAAGATGAAAGAACTGAATTCACTAGGCATATTAACCAAGTACTGATTAATGACCCTGATGTTAAGGATAAAATTCCGATCGATACAAATACTATGCAATTATTTGATGAATGTAAAGGTAAATATAATTCGTTATTGAGTTTGTTAAAAAATATGATTTCTAACAATATAATGACATTTCTTAATAAGATGGGTTAATTCTCGCCAAACTTATTAATGATTCCGTACCTGATACAATTGATGAACGAGTTCTAAATGTGCCTGTAAAGGGAAAGAAAGTCAATAAGTTCAAGATGACGGAAAATAATAATTTAGTAATTTTTTCTGCAAAAGGTATTGGTTGTAATGTTGTAAATATCGGATCAGCTGATTTAATCGAAGGAAGAGAACATTTGATTCTAGGCCTTATCTGGCAGATTATCAAGATTGGACTATTAAATAAAATAGATATAAAGCTTCACCCAGAGTTGTATCGACTTTTGGAAGATGATGAAACACTAGAACAATTTTTAAAATTACCTCCAGATCAAATTTTATTACGATGGTTTAATTATCATTTGAAAGCTGCTAAATGGGATCGAAGGTTAAATAAATTTTTTTTATTACCTCGTCTTATGAATTGAATTAAAATCGTCATTTTATATAGGGTTAAGAACTTTAGCAAAGATGTCAGCGATGGTGCAAATTACACAATACTTTTAAATCAACTTAAACCTGAGCTTTGTTCACGCGATCCGTTAAATGAGCCTGATCTTCTAGAACGTGCCGAAAAGGTATTTAAAAATTGATTTCGATTAAATAATAAATACTACTTTATATTTATTTATATTCTCCATATTATTTATATTAAAAGGTTCTGCAAAACGCCGAGAAATTGGGATGCAGAAAATATTTAACTCCAAAGGCTCTTGTTGCTGGCAACCCAAAGTTAAATTTGGCTTTTGTGGCTCATCTATTTAACACTCATCCCTGCTTGGATCCACTTGATGAAGAAGAAAAGGCAGAACTTGAAGAATTTGATGATAGTGATGATAGAGAAGCAAGAGGTATAGGATAATTATGGTTTCTGACGATTATCATCATTTTCATACTAATTTGCTGTATTATCAATTTTTTACAGTATTTACCCTGTGGCTTAATAGTTTGGATGTTACGCCAGCAGTAAATAATCTTTATGAAGATGTTAAGGTAAGTTTCTTGATTGTCTTATTTCTTATACGAATATTACTTAAAATTTTTATAATTTTGGTTTTTTTTTTTTTTAGGATGGCTTAATCCTCCTTCAAGCATTTGATAAAGTTGCTCCTAATGTAGTAAATTGGAAAAAGGTTAATAAATCATCCAATTTATCTAGATTCAAACAAGTGGAAAATACGAATTATGCAATTGCAATTGGAAAAGAACTACGGTTTACTCTTGTTAATATCCAAGGAGCCGATATTTGTGACGGAACGAAAACTTTAATCCTTGGTCTTGTCTGGCAGATGATGCGGATTAATATTATTCAGACATTAACAAGTTTATCTAAGGGTGGTCGAGATATCACTGATAATGATTTAATTAAATGGGCTAATGATACTGTTGCTCGTGGTAATAAATCTTCGAAAATAAGTAGTTTCAAGGACTCAAAATTAAGAAATGGTATATTTTTGATCGATTTGTTAAACGGTATTAGACCGGGAATTGTAGATTATGATTTAGTAACGAAAGGCATTTCTGGTAAATTAAATTATTTAAAGCAATAAGTTTTTATGATATTTGATTGATTAAAAATTTCGAAATTATTGTAGATGATGATGCTACACTAAATGCTAGATATGCTATTTCTATTGCGAGAAAGATAGGCGCTACTATATTCTTATTACCTGAGGATATTGTTGAAGTTAGGCCTCGATTGGTAATATTTCATTTTTCACTTTATTTTATTCCATTTCGATAAAAATTAACTTTATTTTATTACAGATCCTAACTTTTATTGGTACTTTAATGGCATTGAAAGCATCGGAATGAAATCTTAGTCTCTTAATTGTTATCTAAATACGTTTGATTTATAATTTTTTTGTTTATATTGTCAATTAATAATATTAGATAAATTATCCGTTTTTTTTTTGCTTTTATATGATCAAATATTTATTTGCAAAAAAAAAAAAAAAAATATCAATGTATACATACAACTATAAATATCAACTGTTAGTAAAATTAGATTGGAACATTTAAAAATCGAATAATATTCCCTTTCTTTTTTTTTAGATTTTATAAAATAAGCCTTTATTTTATAAATTTGTATTTTGTATTATTAATCCTTACTATTTACTCGATTTGTCTCGAAGAAAACATACGCTTTTAAAGTTCAATACATTCTTGAATCTCTACACCTTTTCTCCATGGTTTACTAATCCGCTTATATAAAGGGTACCAAGTGTTAATAGCTTTGGACTTTGACCTACAATGAACTATGCCTTCGTCATTGATTAAAATAATTTGACACAATTAACCTTCAAGCATAACAGATTGCAAAAACTTTTAATTTATAAGTCAAAACAATGAATAAATATATTCTAAATGAAGTATACCTATTCTAAATATGTAAAATATTAATTTATATCATGAGACTAAAAGGACATTCGAGATGATCATAATTTCAAAGATGCGGACTTAACATCAACTTCTTGTCTTATAGCCGATTTTTTAGTTCCGTCCTTATCGATAATAGTAACATTCTAGAAATATATATATATATATATATTTTTTAAAAAAAATCCCGCTCAAAATTATTCATCATACAGGAAAAACACGAAAGATTAAATTCTTTTACCTTTTGCCCGATTAAAGAATCCAAAATCTTTTGTTTGGAATGCTTATTACCTAATCCTGGATTTATCCTATATATATATATATATATTATTAAATTATATAAAATTATATATAATTTTTTTTACCTAAAATAATATATGGCAACCTACTTTTCGATGACTTTCTTTTCGCGTTCTTTTAATAACTTCTCTTTCTTCTTAGCGCGTTTCTTCGCAACATGAGCTCGTTTCTTCTCGTTTGAATCCTTTTCAGTTTCGCCCTAATAAAATATAATCTCTAAGAAACTTTGCCTGTTACAAATTAACATGTGTAACGTGACTGCTCTTTTGTTATTACCTTAATTTCTCCTTTCTTTTTATCATAAACTTCTTCAGGTGCTAACAATTTAGCATCGCTAACATTAACAGGGATTACTTCTTCCATAGAAATTGCAGGTAAATCAGAAATAATAGTAATTTCCGGTTTGGGCTATGTAAATAATAAATAATATAAATCAGTATACCTAAAAATTTTAAACGCAAAAAAACGTGAACTTACTGGTTTTGGAGTATAATGGAAATTACTCAAAGCATCTAATTTATGACATAAATCCTTAAACATATTTTCGATTTCTTCATGTTCTTTCTTTAATGCTTCGTCCTTCTCATTTTTCTTATCTTTACTAGTTTGGTTAACATAATCTTCTTCATATATTTCAGCTAAAGATTTCTTTGATTTCTCATCTGATATTTCAATTAATTTCGAAGGTAAAAATGGTCTAAAATTAGGATCACGTTTGCGTTCAACGTCGTCAAATGTTTCCTAAATAGAGAAAAATATATTAATGTTCCTATTTGAAATGATTTATTGATTATTATTATTAGCTTACATCTAAAATCCTTCGTTTTATTATATCCTCAAGTTTTTCCGTAAATTGCTCGGTTATTACAGGAACGGGCTAATATATATATTAAAAGCTTATTAATAAACTTCAAGTCTTATAGTCGAATGAAAAAAGCGGAATTACAAATTACCTTTACAATGTGATCAAATTCCAAATTTTCTTCCAACAAGCTATTTATAGGCCTATCTTTACTTGACGCCTAATAGGGTGGAGTAAAAAATTTTAAATCTTTAGTTACAACATTATTAAATTAGTAACAAAATTCTTACCTCTCCTACAAGAGTCCAATCTTTTTCAGCTACATTCTCCGTTTCAAATTGTTCAATTTGATGTTTGATTCTTTCTTGACGTTTTTGGAAAGAAGATTTTTGCTCTAATAAAAAAATAAATCGTTTTTAGATTGATCATTTTTTTCAAAACATCACTCCAAATATTTATAATGTACCGTCATCATCATCGTTGTCGTCTCGAGCAAATAAATTTCGAACTTTATTATTAAGAAAATCATCGTCATTTTCCGACTCTTCAAGTAGATCAACAACCCCTTTCTTTTTATTCGATTGCTCATCTAACTTTGATGATGATTTCTTCCTAAATTTTTCTTTCTTCTTGGGTGGATCAAAAAACTCACTATATTTTATATCTATTTTTAATAAATAATTATTTTTAAAAAAAAAAAATCCTAATACTGAAATAATAAATAATTCTTATTCAAATAATAACCATTAGCATTCATCTCATCAGAATCATTCAAATCATCGGGATCTATTATAAATTATCATTAAACGTTAAAAGTCATAATTTTATAGGGCCTACGAAAAATGTAAGGAAATAAACCTGCAAAATAATCAATTTCATCATCGAAATCTTCAAAATTTTCATTTTCTTCAGTTGTTTTGTTAAATTCTGACAAATCAAAAAATTTATCATCTAATTCAGGATGTCTCTCTTTCTCATCATCTGTTTCATTAGAATTTTCCTTTATTTCTTCATCATCACTTTCATCATCATTCTTACGTTCATCAACATCTAAATTATGTTCATCAATATCCATTTGTGATAATTCATCATCTACTTCCATATCTTCATCGTCTTTTTCTATAATGTCATTTCCCTCCTCTTCTTCATTTTCATGTTCAATAAATTTCTCTAATTTACTTAATTGTGAAGTAACATAATTTAAAAATGGTTTATTTTGTAAATTAATTTCCGTCCAAATTTGATCATTATCAAGGTCAATTATTAATTTATTAAAAGGATTGCTTCTTATTATCGTTTCATTATCTTGTTTTAATATTGGATTATTTCGCTCTTCTTTTTTACCTGTAAAAAATGCATTAAAAAAAGTTATATTAAATAAATTCTAATAATGATTTAAGTAAGAATAATTAAATTCATTAAGAAAAAAAGCATTCTACACTGTCCATTTTAACCGATCGTGAATTCCACTCTTCCTAAATATAGTAAATTATATCTACCCACCTAAGTCATATAATTCTTTCGTGGCATTTAAAGCTTGAATAGATCTAATTTCATCCGATGTAATAAATCCTTCGGGTTTATCTATAACATTTTTAACGAAAGAATTTAAGAATCTATTTGTTATAGACATATTTAAAAGAAAAGGTTTCAATTCAATAAAAAATGCTACGGTGTGATAAATACAACACCGTGATACAGGTGCGATGATTCCAATTATTTTAAAAAATTTAACCTATTAAAATAATTTATTATAATATTGGATTCTTTTTAATAAATAGTAATTGTAGATTATTTTTATTCTTAAAAAATTATTTATCTAATTACAACTTTTTTTTTGGATTTCGTCATAAAATTTATTTTCATTTAAAAGAAAATTAAGCATTTGAATGCTTCTTTTTTAAGTGCTATCCTTCTATCTGACAAAATAGTTTTATAGCTAGAAAAGCTAAAGCTACATTCACCAGATACTGGTAACCATATATACAGTGGCGCTCAAAAGTATTGCATCACCTGAATACAAATTTTAAAATGGCATTTTCTTGTGATTAAGGCGGCGCAGTGTCATATAAATTATTTATTAGACTTATTATAACCAAGTCTAGTAGAGAAATTTTTAAAAAATATTTATTTTTGAACAATTAGGCGATCCTTTTCTTTTGATCGTTTTTTTATTAAATTCTTTAAGTATATAAAAAAAAATCAAAAATCTAACCAACTTATTAAAAACTTTGGTAAATAATTATTTACCATTTTGTATAGCCGCCATTAGCTCTAATTA